ATTATTATCATTATCGTCAATACGATTATGTGATCCCTCCTAATTAGAGGTTGAGTGTCAATTAGTCACTATATTTTTGAATCAGCTTTCTCCTGTGGAAAAGGGTACTCATAAATATGTGGAACGTGGTAGCAGTAGCTATATGCAGTCTGAACAACCCTTTTTTTCTAATTGGAGATGTAAAGGTATCCAAAAGACCTTCACTTCTAGATTAACTTACTCCAGAAACTCATTAGTAATTCTCTATACTGTCTGTCAAATAATTGTCGTGATGTTAGTTTAGAGAATTTAGTATTGGATCAACTAATAATCCCCTACTTAACAATTTTCTTTATGCTCATCACTTGTCTTCTTGTATTGGTATTGTAAGGAGAAATCCTGTTTTGGTCATTCATGGAAGTTAAACGGTTCAGCCCATGCTATCACCATACCCAGGCCTACTCGGGGACCTTAAGCTGCCTTAAGTCGCCTCAAGTCGCTTTTGGTTATACGCAATGTTATAAGGGTTCCACCCTTTACAATTGACCCCATTCACCCCACTCTAATAATATTGTGTTTATTGCAAGGGATTCTGTAAATATTTTTGAAGTTCATGGAGAGACTGTTGCTAATTTTGATTTTGTCACTCCCGTCAAATAAAATCGCTTTAAGTCGCCTAAAGTCGCCTTGAATCACCTGAAGTCGCAATGTTCGCAATGAGTAGGCCTATGCTCGTTTTTTCTAATGCATCAGTGAGCGAGATTGAAGGAGACGAGACGAGCACATCATGATATGCTCAAATGTTTGTTAAATCACCTGCCATCTGCAAAAATGCACCCTTGAAGTAAGACAATTCACGCGCGGCTGACGCCAATTTATTCACTGTATTTTTTAACATGTCTTTCAGTGATGGAAACAGGCACAATTTCGGTGGACCCACGTTGGAAACGTGACCTGGAGTTGCTTTTTAAAGCCCAAAGAACTGCGAGCAATTTTATTACTTCATCTCTAGAAAAATGTTTTTACAGGTGAGTGACTTCAATTTTACCTTCAAACGTTGGTACTACCCATAGGTGGTGTAGGATAGTTCTCAAAGTTCAACAAAGCAAAAGATTTTAAAAGTGTTTTGGGCCTGACTCGGAGTCGTTTCAGCCCGAGCCGCTAGGCGAGAGTTAAAAGGAATCTGAGATGGGCCCAAAGCATATTCTAAATTTGACTCACAGAATGGGCATAATCTTCTTTCTCTGGTAATCTGGCACTGTGTCATAATGGGTTAGAGAGCTCTTGTAAACGACAAACTGGGCCACACTTAGAAATGTACAATGGTTGCATCTGATGTACTGAATAACGCATGTCCTGTTTTTTGGTGACGCGTGATATGTGATATGTGTGTATTTATATATTCAGATTGGGTAGAGTAGTTGGCAGCAGTCCATGGATCACCATCTTTATTTCATTAGTCATTAGCGGAGCGTGCCTCTTAGGTGTCCTTAAGTTTAAAAAGGAGAATAGAGTGGATAAGCTTTGGACACCAGGCGGTTCAACCGTACAAAGACACAAATTGTGGATACAAAAGAACTTCCCGGCGCAGATGAGAGCGTCCAGTGTGCTTCTTGTGGCCAATGATGTCCTTACTCCTGAAGTTATGAAAGAGGTAAGCAGCCAATAGAGATCAATCACTGCAAACTACGGCAAGAATTTACCGACTGAGGAAAATAGCTTTACTGGTCCAGTCATGGTGATGTAAGTCAACTGGCTTGGATAAATTTGAATGAATGAGAAGCTATAGTACTCCCTGGAATCTCCTCGAAAGAAACTTTGCAAAAGCCGTCATGATGTAACCTGTGTGCCTAGCGAGTTTGTTTGCGCCAGATAGTTTTTTTTTTTTGTCCCAGCTTAACCACTCATCTCTTATCACTAACAAACCGTCAAGCTCACAGAAAACTGCCAGCCACGCAGGACATCATCCGTTCAATATTTTGAAAGTGCCACGAATTTGCTTTTTTCTTCTATTACTTTTTATACAGGCTTTCATGGTCTATGAAAGAGGAACAAAAATTGATCATAAGACCAAATATTCCTGGGAGAATGTTTGTTTTAGGTAGGTAGAAATGCTGAGCTTTTACAGGGGATACCTGGATTTCCAGTTTGGGCCTTTTATTGAGAGCGGGGGGTGAGGGGGAGGGGAAGGACAGGCATAATGCATCATAGGGTTACCCCCAAGGGTGCTTTGTCAGGTTCTCACGACAATTGCTTACCACCAATCTTAAATCTTCCACCTTAGATCAAGTGATCTCAAAGAATGAAGATCTAGAGAAAGGACACATATAACGAGTTACTGACATTATGAAATGTTTAGGATTGGCCCGATTTGTTTAGAAAGCGGCTTGTTGGAGCTGTGGTCCTTTGACGAAACTACAATAAACCGTCTGACAAGAGAAGACATTTTGGAAAAGATAAACCAAGACGTAATAATAAGGTGAGAGTCAAAACATAAACAAGATTTCAAATCATGTACTTCTTTATTTCTAAAACGAGTAAGTAAGTTTTCATGTGACTCATGGTTGCTTGGACTGACTTAAACAAACTGGATTATAGACACAGAACTACGCCTTCTGCCTGCTAATATGTTAAATCAGTCAAGTTAAAATAGTTTTACTAGTACTGCTATTATGAATTGTTGTTATCAATGGTATCGTTATCAGAGCAGTTTTCAATTGAGTGACGAAAGTAAACCAGGATTGCTTTGGTTTCGCTCTACTTCACTCTGTGATTGGTCCAAAAAACCTCGCTCCACTCTCTCAACCAATCACATGCAAAACTAACACCAATCACGATTCGGTAGTCCGCGTTTTCCCGCGCTTTAAGCAGTGTAGATGGTGTTACTTTGAGTTCTGATTGGCTCTTAATGATATTTTCTTTTAGTCTGATTGGCCGTTGTGATTACTGTGCTTTTGGTTTCACACTGACTCAATCAAATAGCGCTCAATTGTTACTGTTACATGTATTTATATTACTGTTACTTTTATTATCATGGCTGTATTATTATTGTTATCATTATTATTATTATTATTATTATTATTATTGTTAACGTTATTATTTATTTCATACTATTGTATAATGACAGATTTTTCAAACTTTAAACATCTAAAAACTGACAACAGGTTCTGGAACATTGCAGTGACTGAAAAAAGTTGTTCGCGATCAGGGAAAAATTGGAAAAAAGTGAAAATTTTTTATACCGCCACGTAGACTTGAGTAAAAGTTTTTCTTTTAAAGGGTACTTCTTTCTTTTTTTTTTTTTTTTCTTCTCTTCGTAATTTTGCAGTCCAATGACCAGAAAAAAGTTTGAGTTATCAAAGTACCTGGGAGGAATCAATAGGAACTCAACAGGACACGTGGTTACTGCAGAAGCTACTACTCTTTTGTTTGGAGTCAAATTCAAACCAAAACTGAATGCAAAGGAAGGACGTTTGGTGAGTTATTTTTTACTGTTTTGTTATGAGTGGAGAGAGATACAGACGTACTGAAGTCAATACAAAACGAACCACCATTATTTTACGTTAGACTCTTATAACTGTTTGTTTAGTGCTTATCCCCTTAAATTGCAAGAAGTACACATTTTGCTGTTTATCAGCAGAAAATATACCTTCATTTTCCCGAATAGTTCGACCCATAAGAGATAAATAATAAATTAATAAATAAAAAATAAATAATAGATAAATAAACCCATAGCTCAGAACTTTTCTCCTTTATACCAATGATCATTCCTTTTGGCAAGAAAGATTCATTGATGACGATTTGAGCATGCGCAGTAACATTCGATAGCAGTAACAGACAAGCACCTGCACCTCTGATATCTATTAGCTCAGATTGTACTTCCTTTTACTCCAGAATCAACTTCGATAACAGTTATATAAATATTTGAGCCAATTGACAAACATAGTTTATGTGAATTTCATTTACGAGTTTTGCATAAACATCCACATTCCATTGCATTAATAGACAACTATTTTCACAAACGCGATATCCCATAGTTGGTGTAAAGGACAATAGGTTCGCGTCATCAGTCGAACTGCTCGCACAGATAAAAGTATATTTTTAATAAATGAACAGCAAAAGGTGTAATTAAATCAAACTGTTTCTTAACAGGAGGATAAGGTGGTCGAGAAATGGGAAACAGAGTTCAATAAACTAATGGACACGACTAAAACAACCAATGCGAAGCTTTACTACATGACAGAAGTTGGGTATGAATTTTTCAAACTTGTTGCCACAAGTTGCCAGTCGTTTTGACTTAAAGTTTTCTCCCTCAAACGTGTGAAAATTGACGTGAGTCAAGGGAGAGTAAAGGAAAATCCCCATGACTGTCTGTGTAGATAACTTTGTTCTAGACAACAACAAGCGGGTTATCAGTTACATACCGAAATAGTTGACTATTATTCACCAAAGTGGAGGTAAATATTCACCACTTTCACTAACACTGAGGTCAATAACTGTATTAGATTATACCACAGATTAACCACACAATTAGTTAACTTCGGTCAATGCACCGACAAATGGTGGAATTTTAACTTGTGACCAGCAAGTTTGTCTTTTTGGCCACTCGAAGGTGAAAATTACTTCCTAGTCACTTCCAAGCTAGCCAATCATCGCGCGCTTAACACAAATATTTTCCTGTGTGGTATTTTCAGACAGACCGTATATGAAGCGCTTTAAACACTTTGTAGAGCTCTTTTCTTCCCAATATCTTATAGATATAGAGAAGACGCAGACAAAAGTATTCAAGACGACATCGTTCTGCTTTCCTGTGGATACATCCTAGTTATTTTCTACGTTTCTGTGATGCTGGGAAATTTCAGTCGTATGAACATCAAGGTAAAGTTTCATTCCCTGACTTCTGTCACTCATTTTAGCCACACTTTAGGTACGTTGTTACTTGCACGGTTAGATGCTCTGAATGGAGCAACCGAAGATGGCGATAAGGTTATTTTACCCTTTGCTTCCTAACATCAGTATGCATATTCTCCATACTGTTCTCCATATATTTCCCAAGATGGTGACAAGGAGAATTTGTTGAACAATCAAGAGTTTCTCGAGTTGGTGATCATTTCCTTTATTCTCCTGACCTTAATGTGTGATTCAGGGGTGATATTGTAAGGAGAAATTAGAGGCTAGTCACTCTTAGTGGGTAAAAGTGTTCAAGGTCTCAAACGGAACAATGTCAGACATTGAATTCGATTAGAAAAAGTATTTGCCGCTGAGTGAAAGAGATGCATTAGGGAGTGAAACTTTTTAGGGTCTCTCATAAGATGCAATCTCCTAGACAAAGTAATTCATTTTCTTTTAACCAACATACAGGTTTGGCTTGCGTTATTTGGGGTTCTTTGCGTTGGTTTATCTATTGGTGTGTCATTTGGAATAGCAAGTGCAATTGGAATTTTCTACGGTCCAATTCATTCCACATTACCTTTCCTTTTACTTGGTAAGTGGATCTAACTGTGACTGGTGGCATATGGATATACAACGATAGATACTGTGCCAGTGGGAAAAGATAGGAAAATATGGACTGGGCACTAAGAACCAATCTGATTGCAGGATTCGTTACCGTGCCCTCTGAGAAAAAAAGGAAGTACAGTATCTTTGTTAAATCTCCACTATATGGCTCCTCCGATTTAGTTTACAGAGTTGGAAAAAGTAAGGAAGAAAAACTTATTTACGAATTTATTTATTAATAAAAAAATAAAAATAATAGAAACTTTAATGTCATAGTAAAACTGTTTTAGTCGTGAGGTCAGTCACCTAGGTCTCGGTGTGACATAGCTCCAATTTTGCAGCACGCTTAAGGTAGTAAGCGTTTTACTATTTCTTGTGCTTGAGCCTGACGAGCTCCAAGAGTTGATAGATCGATAGTGAAAGGAACGTTGTGATGTGGCTGTCTTGCAGCAATCGAACGACTTTGATTGGGGGCTCAACATCGAAGGCTTGTTTAGAAAAGATATGGGTGAGCAGAGGCGAATCTAGGGAAGGGGTTCAGTTTGTATGCATTTCTTTTCGTTTCTCAGTAGTTAAGTTTATATAGATTATGTTGGTGAAGTACTTCTTTAGGTCTTTTCACACCCAAGAGTGACAAAAAAGGAACTTCTAACAACATCTGTACATTTTCGAGCAGAAAAGTGAAAAACGAAAAATCTTAACATAGTGGGTGAGCTAAAATTATGCGAAATGAACGGGAAACATTGAATGAAATGGAGTGAAAAGGTTAAAATGTTTGCACGCAGGTATTGGAGTGGACGACATGTTTGTGATCGTTCAAGCTTGGAGCAACTTGGCACCAGAATTATGTCAGACTCAATCAATAGCAGAACGACTTGGACTTGCTCTAAAACATGCTGTAAGTTGTTAGGGGTATTACTCCTACGACAATTTTTTTAAATAGTAGTGTGTACTTTCTATAGGTTCACGGCATCGTTTGCGCGCAGAGCTTAATTTCGTTTACCCCAACAGTCCAACAATTCATTCAGTACCGAGTTGCGCATGATCGCATCAATTCAGCTATACCATGTCATTGTTCTGTTTCAGGGATGCTCGATCACCATCACAACTTTGACGGATTTTCTTGCCTTTCTAATAGGATCAACTACGGTTTGTACTGATATGTATTCAAAATACTTGTAGTTTTAATCAGTCTGGTTTTTCCTTGTCTCCTTCGCTGCCGTTCTGTGGGATGTCATCCAACGCTCCTCCAAAAGGGGCAAGGGGGAGGGAGATGGGCTGGGGGGGAGGGGGGTAAGGCATTGTATGACATTCCAAAGATAGCTGCACAACAACTTAGTCTATACATGAACTGAATAAGCAGAATCTTACCGCGCGAAGTTAGAACACCCATCACAAACAAACGTAAATGCATCACAAAGAAACGTAAATGCAGAGGAAAAATGAAATAATACTCTTCTCGTTATCGACTTTCTTAAAACCCTTTCAGACGTTCGAAATCACAACCCAACAAGCTAATGAAAGTACGGAATGAAATTTCCCACAAGTCTACTTTTAAAAAAAACATTTAGTGAACTAGCACTCTTGGTTTTCGAAGTCCTTTTTATTTTTCACTTCTGCAATGACTACACTTATGGCCGTGATTCGTCTGTATTCATTGCAGATCTTACCCGCCCTGAGATCATTCTGTATTTATGCGGCAATAGGTAAGTGATTTTACCCATACTCAGGGGGATGGGTCGAGAATCGTCATGGAAAGCAAGCGCGATCCTTCATCAACGCCCTATATAACTTAAGGAACATGCAATTCCAATAAGCTATCACCACAACTTTTTTTTTAACTTTACATTCCTGCAGGCAGGTCCAATGTACTCAAGGGTTGCCAAGAGCTACTGACGTATACACGTTTCAATTTTTTACATAACCTCTAGCTCTCCCTAAAAAGAGCACGATGAGGTGTACCTAAACATCTTAAGAGATATTTTTAAGCAGTGCAAAACGAAATTATTAACCCATAGCGTTTTAAACTTTGGTATCCATTTCACCAGGTGTTTTGGCAGACTTCATCCTTCAAGCTACTTTATTCACAGCACTATTGGCTATTGACGCGCGAAGGTAACCTCCTAGATGGAATTGTTTTCGTTCGCGTTAATCTTTTACACCCTAACATCAGTATGCTTATTCTCCATACTGTTCTTTATACATTTCCTAAGGTGCTGACAAGGAGAATTTGTTTTACAATCAAGATATATTTACTTGATCATTTATATTATTCTCCAAACCTTTATGCTTGATTCAGGGGTGATGTTGTATGGAGAAATTAGATGCTGGTCACTTAAAGGGGTTAATGAGTTAAGCTAGTGAAATCAGCTATGCTATGTTGAAACAAGCCCTGTAAATGTAGCATTTTACTTTTACCTTTTAACAGACCTACACATTCGCCTTCCGAGCGGTTGAATGATATTCTTCGCTTCTTTAGAATTGCAAATTATTACTGAATCACTTACAAGGTGATTTCCTTAAGATAGTTGCTCTTGAGCTGATTCATCCTTACATGATCTCTAGGGTTATTCACGTCATACTTGTCCTAGTTGCCTTGGAACAACTGAACAAAAACCGTGAAGGATTCATTCGTTTGACGGACAAAAGACGCACAAATAAAAATCAAGTGACATTTTTGCCAGGGAAACAGACAGAGAAATGTGGAAAATTAACAGAAAAAAAGAAAAACAACTTTGTCTCCAAAAATCGTGCCATCCTTTTTAATCAATGATACGAAAAACACAACACCAATCACGTCTTCATTTTTATCTTTGCCGCCTTTCAGGCAATTTGCTAGTTTTTTTCCCGTAGATTATCTCTAGCTCCTTGTGCTACCGTCCTCTTCCCTATCTTTGATTTTGTCGGAATGTACTCTGAATACCTCACTCATTTCAACAAGTACAGACAGAAAGCTTTTCTTTGTGTTTTTTTTTAATTGATGTAGGCAGCAGAAAAGGAAAGATGGCTGCTGCTGTTGCATAACGCTACCGGATAACTATCAAGAAAGCTCACTTGCAAAGAAAAATTTTCTCAAAACGAGCATGGATAAGATTGGAGCAGCTATGCTCTCTCTCCCCGGGAAGGTAATGAGATTTTCTCTCTCTGTTGTTCTTTCCCATGCTGTCCCTCCCTGGGAAGGTAGTGAGATTCTCTATCTCTGTTTTTCTTTCCCATGCTGTCCCTCCCTGGGAAAGTAGTGAGATTATCTGTCTCTGTTTTTCTTTCCCATGCTGTCCCTCCCTGGGAACGTAGTGAGATTTTCTCTCTCTGTTATTCTTTCCCATGCTGTCCCTCCCTGGGGAGGTAGTGAGATTGTCTTTCTCCGTTTTTCTTTCCCATGCTGTCCCTCCCTGGGAAGGTAGTGAGATTGTCTTTCTCTGTTTTTTTTTTTCGTCCCACGCTCGAGACGGTGCAGAAGTAAAAGATCTCTGTTTCATTTCTGAGTGTAAACCCTACCATTTTTCTTATATCGTAAGTTAACTTTTTTGTCAGGTTGCCGTCATCGTTATAACGGGAGCTCTCTTTGGTATCAACCTCTATGGAGCAATGATGCTAAAGCTGTCTTTTGATCAGAACCGGTTTTTGCCTCCTGACTCGATGTCTTACAAGTATACGCTCGCTAACAGCAAGGTAAACCCATAATATTGTAAAAAAAAAAAAAAGGTTCACTCAATTTCTGTCATTACATTTCTCTCCTGCATAACATCAGTTGGGAAACTTTAGCTCCACCCCTTAATCAGTGTTGCTTTGCTAATAACGTGTTCTGTACTTGATATTCACTCTCTCATTTCAACATTTGACGGGGGGGGGGGCAGGGGAAGTGGGCATGTTGAAGAGATTAAGGAAGTGCGAGCGATCTTAATTTTGTCCTAACTTGTTTTTTTTCCCTTCCTTTCTTCAATTCCTACCCAATTCCTTCCTTCCACGAACTTTATCATAGAGAAACTGGTCTCGAAGTTGGTCTTTTGATTGTACTGTTATCACACAATACTCTCCATATGATTAATGTTTTCATTTGGAATAATAGCAAAATTATTTGTTCTCACATTGCAGTATTTTCCAGTAAACGGAGCCCCTGTGAGCATATATACAGGTACTTTAAACTAGAGGTTTTCTAAAATATACTTCCATCTTCACTGAGAAAATTCCAAAAAAACACCTTATTAAACCTTTCTTGTTAGGATCCACATTAACAACATTTGTCTTTATCTTTAATCAAGTATTTCTCAATTGCCCATCCAGCTTAAATTTGATAGCAGGCATGGAAAAACTTGCTCGACTTTGTGGGCCAAGAACATCAAGTTAATTGTTATTTTGTCCCACTTTACGTCTATTCTTTCAAAAAGCCGTTCCCGCCAGAAGGGGTTTTCAATTGTGAGATTGGACTTAAAAAACAGTACTTAAAAAACGTTAGTTTCTTATTTCACCATTTTTCTCATGGGTTTGACTGCCAACTTCAATTTCTTGTACTGAACTAGTATAAGAGAGCGTAATTATTATGCTAATCTGTTAACTTTTTGTTTCCTCAGGAAAGTTCGATTACTTTAAAGAACAAGATAAACTTCACAGGGTCTACGACATTGCAGTCAGTGACAAAAAATATATAATTTCTAGTTCCATAAACAGCTGGTATGAAGAGTTTGTTAACTGGGCTATTGAAAAGAAACCAGGACAGTGTATTCAGGAGAGTAAGCATCACATATGAAATCATATATTGAAAGCTAAACAAAATCCCAGTCACCAGAGGACATGAAATGTTCCCAAACAGATAACAGCAATACATTTTGAGCCAATAAGAAAAAAATTATTAGAGTTATAAAAATTATTCTAAAATTCTCGAACGTGGTTGGTTATCACCATGTTATGTCTGTACTTGGACAATACGCATCACTACACGCTCTCGTCGTGAATTCCGCCAAGTTGAGAGAGATTTAGCACCGCGTTTACGTGAAACGGCAAAAGTGAAAAAATGGCAGGAAAAACAAGGTCATGTGGTCAATCTTGCCATTCACATTTCACGTAAACGCAGTGCTAAATCTTTCTAAAATTTTTTTTCCACGAAGATGTAGAACCGATGGTCAGTTTGTTTCTTGAATTATGTCATAGTTTTGATTAATTAGTAACAAGATTTTGAGTTGTGAAAAATGAACAAATACTATTGGTCTATCAACATTCTCGTTGAGAGATGGGTTTTGTCCTAACAGTCCTGTTAAATTTAAGCGCGCTAGTTCCCCATGAGCATTTCGTTTAAGGATGCACTTTGCAATATAGGAAAATGACTAAGTCCCAAAACGTTTTTTTGTCTTTTAAGGGAAGATCACCAACGAGACTTGTTTTTATCCGTGGCTCGACGAGTTCCTTCGTACCTCTGGTCTAAGTTATCAAAGTGACCTTATGACTGAAAATGGGACTAGTCAGCTTCCATTACAGATTTTGGTAATACGTAGTAAATGTTGCTGTACGCCTGTTTAGTTATGGCTAACATATGACGTTAAAATGTGGTGAGAACAATAACCTGGCAGAAGAGTTGGACAGAAGACATGTTATTTGGCACGTTTATCGATTATCCTATGATTTCCAGAACATTCTTGATTAGTCCTTTAGGAAAGTTCTAGTGGTTTCGACATGAGTACGTGACGTCTATTTATAGAAACTCGAGTTGTTTACCGTAAATTCTGGAAAATTCTGGAAAATTCTATGATGTAATGTTACTAAAAATAGTCGTGTTGTAAATCTGTAGAATCTTCTAGAAAGATTGTAAGGAACAATATGAGAAGGTGCAGTAGGTTGTTGCGTTTAGAGGAAAAAGAAGAAAAAGAAGAGAAAAAGATAAAGGAAATAAAGGAGTTAGTGAAAACAATTCATTTTAAGGTTTACCACGAAACCAAGAGTGTCACCTGATGTTCTTAACCCATTTTCACGTCTTTGTGACCTTTTTCTTAATAGAGGCATGGCAACATGGAATCTATTTGTTTAATACAAGAAAGAGGCAAGAAACTATCACTGATGACCTCCTGTATGCATCTGTCCTTCGAAATGCTTGCGTAATTCAGCTTTTTATATAGAGTGTAAAGGCTGTGGTTTCATCTCAGCTTTGCTCTCAGCTACAAGGATTTTATACCATTATTATCCATTATTCACATATTTTCTCTCACAACAGGCATCTCAGATAAGGCTGAGGCACAAAAACTTGGACTCAACGCGAGAAGAAGTGAAAGCAATGGAGAATTTGCGAGACAACATCAAAACTGTGTTTCCTAATGACAGCCTCGGATTTCCGTATTCACCGTATTACTTTACAAGTGAAACAAATAAGGTAAACCACTTTTGACTGATACAATAGCAGGGGTTCTGGTATTATCTGCTTAAACAATTTTCAATGTATATGATTCAATGAAGGCTCACGACAGTTTTGTTTTGACTTTTTCTCAAAACGTGACTTGATAGATTATTTTGCCTAGGTTCATGGATACAAGTAGGCAGTCAAGCTGCCTTGCGACTTTCCTATTAATAGCCCTTTGTCAGGATAGCCATGATCAGAAATTATGTCAAATTACTGTCTATGATCACGGCGCCATTAATTGTCATGGCAACATAGATTGCTAATTTGAATTCATTTGTCAGTCATCTTGCACACCTGAACAATTGAAGGAGTACGTGCCTGTGTAATCTTGTTAGCCAATGACATGGTGCAAAGTATATATTTCATTTCCTTAGATCATTGCAACGGAGCTTTACCGAAACATGGGCCTAGCACTTTTAACAGTTTTGGTGGCTACTCCGGTCGTGCTGTCAAGCTTGAGGACGTGCCTTTTTGTCTTTACCTGTGTTGGGTTTACATTGGTGAGTGAGACACAGTGTCAAAGTTATAAAAAAAAAAATGGGACTTAGGTTATATAATTTTCATGTTTACTTAATGATGTTTTAACAAGGTCATTGTCTTTAGCTGTAGATATAACATGGGAAAGTGGTTGTAATAACAACAGGTTGACGTTCTTATTAATAATGATGTTACCGAGACTTCAAATCGTAACTTTGTAACTTGTTTACCACAATTTATTCCGAAACTCTGCCAGTTTTTTACAAAGCCCAAAAACACCTTCTTCTCTACTCCAAAAAAATGTGCTTTCTCATCCGGGTTACAAGTTTCTCATTTCACAATTCATGTAATACCACGTAAATGTCCAACCCATAAAAAGAGAACAAACACAGAAAAGAAACTATGGTTCTGCGGCGGTAACAAATGATGATGACTATGACATTGGCTAGGATGACAGTAAGGTTTTCAAGATGATATCAATATAATGACAACAATTGTTCACCATCCAAACAACTGGTTATTAAAGTAGGAGGAATTCTAAGACCATTTCATTTTGATGTTCAAACATGTCAGAAGTCAACAATCACTATTTTCTATTACTTTTCAAAAACAGGTTGGAATAATGGGCACAATCCATTTCTGGGGTCTGACAATCGATATTGTGACTACCATGTTCCTTGTGTTGGCCGTAGGATTGTCTGTGGATTATTCATCCCACATCGGACACACTTTCATGATAACATCTGGTTCACGAAAGGGTAAGTTGAGAAAAACAGGTTCAGGCAGTATAACCCTGTAACTCTCCAAAGTGATTAACATGTAACTTCTCCATGTAATATCCATATCTTATGCAGCAAAGAGGTGATGAGAAAACTCAAATTTACAGTTAAAAGTTATTTTGATCAAATGCCAAATTCTTGTAACTAATTTACAAGGAAATGTGTAGCAGCTAGAGGGGAGAATTTACAATCAGATCTTGGGAGTTCAAGGGTAACAATCAATAATGTAACCCATAACACCTTGTTTCTGTGATCACTGACTTTTTTTACTGAAAAAAGCTTGGTCAGTGTCTTGGTAGTTTAGTTTACCTTTTGTTTTTTGTTAGCATAGATTTCAATTGGTTGAGAAACAGTGTTTTATCATTCACTTTGTCTGATTTTGCCACTTAAATTTTGACAGCCACAGAAGGAGACAGAAGTGTTCAAGATCATGCGAGCTGCATTCTTGTCAAAAAGAGTTATAACTTCTCATAATAAAAACCTTACATGTCCCAAACTCTAAGACACCCCAGGTTTAGTCAATATTTTGTTACCTTGAGTCTGTCTGTTTATGAGCCAGTGGCCCATCAGGCCGGCGCTTAACTCTGGTTTCTGAAGCACGAAGCTACTAGGAGTATTTCTACTCCCCTTGTATGGGATGCAGGTCCATCGTCTCATACCTTGAGTCTAATGCCTTGAAAATAATGTAGACTCTAACCTGGTCCATAGAACAGTAATTTTTTAGTATTTCATTTTGCCTCATTATTTTCTTTGAGAACGAGCGCTGACCACTCTACGTGACATGGGGCCTGCAGTATGGAATGGTGGATTTAGTACTTTCATAGCCATTGGTCTTCTGGTGTTTTCCAAGTCTTATCCAACATTAACTTTCTTTAAGGTAAGATATCACTCCATAACCTTCAGTTACAACACTTTTAGACTGAATCTCTTAAAACCAAATCAGAGGGGTCAATCAGAGCTAACAAAAAGATCAAAATCAGCTAATGAAACTCAAAGCAAAAGCAATCTTTGTTATGCAACAAAAAAAATGCTTGCAACCAAGTTACAATTGGTTTCAGTTTTTCATCTGATTGGTTGAAGATGGCACAGGTTTGATAGAAACAGAGCAAAGTAAAGCAAAAGCAATGTAAGGAAAGAGCTTGTACATAACCTTCAATCACACTGCTGTGGGTAGCAAAAGGACATTTTCGGAGTTAAACACTGGATTACTGAAGGTAAGATAAGATATAACAATTTTGCCAGTTAACCTTAGCTTCAAACTCATGTTTGAATTAATCTACAGGTGTTTTTTTGTGTGGTGTTTTATGGATTATTTCATGGCCTGTGTTATCTTCCCGTGTTGCTCTCCGTGATTGGAACTTCCCCATATGATTCTTCTGAGGTAAACACAGAGCAGAGTCCAGCATCCACCAAGCCTGATGATGGCACTGATCATAAAGGAGCTCATATCAATCTTACAATAGCAACAAGCAGTGGAGATCTGTTAACTAATGGGGCTCCTCAGCAAAAATCCTCCCTTATGGCAGTTGAAGGTAAATGTAAAAGATACTTGCAAAGTTTTCGCTACTGCAAGTTTTCGAAAACATTGGGTACCCAAGAACAATGCAGTTTTACCTAGACCAACTGATAATGTCATTTTAGACTTGTTTGTATTACCTATAAGTAAATAAGTTTCTGTAAAGGTATATACTTTTTAACGAATCAGGGCGCAAAGACAAAACCACTGATAATTGAAAGCTTGACAGATGATTGACAGTACATCTGTAGGTTAGGAATTGAACACAACATTCTTGAGATGCACACGGTGATGGCAAATAAAATATAATTACTTCGGCCAGGCTTTGACACCCACTAATCAACTGGAGGCCTTATCATTAGTTCAGTCTTTCAACATTCTTACTCTAAGGAAATCAATATCAGCACTTCACACTCTCTGCCAAAAAATTATTTAAGTTTTAGTGCAAAATAAAAAAATCCCCCCCCCCCCTTTGCTGGTGTGTTTCCATCTTTGCATTTTTTAATTTCCAGCAACTCTTATGTCTCAAAAAATGTCTACAGGTGCTAAAGTGTCCCAATTAATTGTTTAGCCAGTGTAGAAGATGCTTACCCTACTTGTGCCTGGAATTCTTTGCATCATCCTTCATTGCACTTTTAATGTAGAAAATTTAAACCTGAAGTGACCCTGTTTGCTAACATTTCTTTCTTTATGACATCTATCCTAGAATTGGATGCCGTAACATTATTTCCTGAAAGTGAAAGAAAGAAAAGTGAATGAAGAATAATTTTCAGACAACAGATCTTAATAAATCTTGAACTTTGAATGAGGACATACATGTATTTATTTAGATTACTTGTTAATGAAATAGAGGGAAAAAAATTAATACTGAATTTCTGAATGCACTCTTGAGTAATCAGTCACAGGAAGCCCTTTAAGTTAATTAATAACAACAAACAGGTGAATGAGCTGAATGAAATTTTATTTTTGTACAAACATACCAGGACATGGAAAATTAGGCCTGCTAAGAAACTTTCAACTTTGAAAATATTAAGTTAGTGCTTTTTCAAACAAAGTTAAAGTGCTCAAATGCTTTCAGATTACTAAGAATCTAACTAATCATGAGCAAGTAATTTTGTGCTCTTCAGAAGTAAAATTAAGAAAAAAATACCCTCTTCATTGACCAATCAGCATTTAGTAACTTTGCCCTCTATGTTATTAATATAACAATTAACAGCATTTAAAACATAATCATTTACTTAAGGATAATTTTTGAAATAATTATAACATCAACATGTATGTAGTGTAACAGTGCACATTGCAAGCTTTGTGGGTCACTATTGGGTTAATTTCATACATTACTTCTAATCAAGGGAAATGAAATAAAAAATTAAATTGAGAAGTGAGGAAATGAACAATTTGTGCTTGCTACGTTGTATTGTGTCTTTAATTCTCTCCCCCCCTTGACCAGTATTGTACTGTAGTAAGAGCAAAAAGTTTGTCCCCGATGTTCTTAACATATTTTGAAGTCAGACGCACAGCAACCTAATTAATTTTTTTAAATGATTAAAAAAGCAAAATGCCGTTAATGGTGACGTCATTTATCCGTCTGTCCTACAATCTACTTGTTGAGGTGGTGAAAAACTTAACTTTTAAGCGAAAGAAACATTTACCCTATTAATATTTAATCATTTATCTACTAGGATGGGGCAAGGTTTCCGTATACACCCATACTTCATTATGCACACAGTTCTTTTATAAAAAAAAAAAAAAAAATGGCGAAATAATATACTGGAAATCTTTACTGTCCATTTAATAGTCTCTTGAAGAAGCTTTAAAATTTCCGTAGGGCAGCTTATTGGCAGAATTGACTAAGCCTACTTACCTTCTTACTTTCTGTGGTTACAAACAGGACAGCTAAACTGCCCGTCCAGTGGATCCCGATTTCTTCTTGATGTTGGCTTTCCATTAAATTTTCTCCTGCCCATTTTACAGGTAGACCATTGTAAAACCTTGGTAACCGTGGCTTCTTTAGAGTGTTAGAGCTTTAATGTATGAGCACTTTTTGTGTCTCATCCAAATAACTCGCCAGAAGCGGCTACTGCAAAAGATAACCATACATCCTTAACTTAAGGAAAGGGCAGCTTAATTAATCACCTTATTATTATTTTTTTTTAAGAATGGACGATCAGGTAGTATGATAAAGTGTCTATGGACAATTTCAGCGAGTCTGCTGTCAGAAGAAAACGATGAAAAAGTAGGGGTTATGAAAAAGCGGAAAAAAGAGCGAAATTTCCTTTTTACGAGTATATGACTTTTAAGATATGAATTAAGTCTGTCTCTGTCTCTATTCTTGTATGAAGATAAGGGCACCTTGAGCCACGTTGTTTTATAATCAGAAATTTTCTTATTCTAATTTGGACTGAATTTGATTGCATCGGCAGTTGAGATTGCAAGCCAGATTTATTTAAGTTCTTGATTTATTTTTGGTACAAAATATTGTTAAGAAGTACAATTTACGAAAATGAAAGAAATTGAACGTGCAGCTGAATATATCTAGAAACGTTCGATACCTCTTAACAGGAATACATGAAATTGATTTTAACAGTTTGCTGACGTGCAGCGTCACAACCGGAAACACGTGCGTATCATTGATTTCAGTAAAGGACCAGTCATTATTATCGCCTGGGTGGGGGGATCGGGGGATTTTTGGAGGATCACATGGGAATTAGTCGTCTGTAACAGGGTTTAAATGAGAATATAGATATTGACTGCAAATGAGGGGGGGGGTTGAATACTACAAAGCCTTTTGGGAGGATTAGGTCAATTTTGTAGTGACACAGTCAAAATCCTCCGATTTCCCCCCCCCCACCCTCACTCAGGTGTGCACTCTCAGGTTCCTGTCTTGATTTGATAAAGATAGAGAATCTATCAAAAAGTTCGAAAGATGTTAGTGAAACGTCCTGCTCAAGATTATTCAAGAGACAAAAAACTTGAAAAACAAGCGCAATTTAATAAACTATCGTTCATGAATGGCAACAGATTTTTGCTGTTGTTGTTTGTTTCGCGAACACATCTCAGTACGAGTACCAATGAATCACTTACGGAGATGGGGTGGGGGGGACTCACTTATGAGTGTGGGGGAGTGGGGAAGCCTTAGTTTACAGTGTGATTCAAACTTAAAAATCCTAAAAATCCTATATTCTCAAAACCCAGACGACTAAAACAGTATGACGCCGTTTTCTTTTCTCTCTCTCTCTCTCTCTCTCTNATTTTCTGCCTTTAAAAGCACACACAACCCACAATTCCTCTATTCGCTCCGACGAAGGGCTAACGCTCGAAACTTCAGCTTTTGTAATCGTTACGGTGGCCAATTTACCATTTCAACTTTGTTGATATATCCAAATTATTTCGTTACTCCCACCGACGCAGCCCCAAACAGTTTCTTTCGAAACCATCAGCCTTTTACCAACTTAAGAAAGCTTCCTTGAATTTTTCATGTTGTTCTTTATTTACTTTGAATCTGTGTACGCGTGTCAGTCTTCTCCATCCTCAACTACCCTAGTTCCCTTTTTTAGTTTTTTTTTCTTCCCGACAACTCTGATGTGTTTCTACCCTGGCAACTGATTTTTTCAAGGGTCTTTCCTATTTGAGGGAACTTCGCTATAATGTTAAACAACAAGCGAAAAAGTAAGCTTTTTCAAAGAAAGGGGGAGTCGCATTGTGTCATATTCAGGGTACCTACCCCACTGTACTGTCGACATACACCCTCTGTTATGTCTGTTATACTTAAGAATATTTTGGTGGATAAGTGGCGAGTGAGACATGCCTAGAGGAGTCTTCGTATCTGCACTTTTTCATCACTTGTGTTATGAGGTTTTGACGTTGTTGACTTAAAAAAGGAATCAGTAAAAAAGGGGTATCGTGGTCATTCCAGGACCCCCTACCCCCCCCACCCCCCTATCACCCCACGCCCTCAGTTACGAGAAATATGCTTAAAATTGTCACGTCGTGAAATGATTTCATTATAGCGGCACTTGCTCAATATTGGTTCCATCATAAGTTAAAGCATGTCCGAAACGAAACCGCAGCATGGATAGGCAAATTTTATACCGGAACGTTAACATCTGACTTCCGTTTCAGACCGTAATGTATGCTAATGATCTCTTCCGCATATTTCGCGTTCGGGAAGGACTAATCTGGCTTATTTAAGGTGAAAACAAATTAAACGGCCCCAGTTTAAACGGTTGTCTAAACGGTGAAGTTCACGAAAGAAACCCTCTTCAGAGCTGACATTGCAAGTCCGGAGAAATCAAAGAAAGTGTAAAAACCCTCCTAGCTTACCATAATCATAAACTGTCACAAGGCACTGGAAGAGCGGTAAGTCTAATGACAATCATTCTACAAGAGACACCAGCGAGAGGAAATAAATATTCTTCGTTATCTTTTATCAAGCTTGGCAACTTTAAGTAATCTCAAAGAGGTCTTGAAAGGAGAAAACATCGAACAATTCTTAGAAAACATGAAATGACATCGCCTGGACTACCCTAAAGGGTTTGTCATTCTTTTTCGACTCAAAAATGACCTTTCACGACCATTTGAAAGAATCCTCAACGTGATCTTAGTTTGGTGACGAAGGTTTGGAATTGCGACAGTCAAGTGAATCAAAAACCACGGATTTGGGAAAAAATTAGGCTGAGTGTGCTTGTAAAACAAGGAGCAGTCATCAGTGTTGGAATATTTTGAGTCGGTAACAATTTTGACTCAGCTGCTAAAAACCAGATGTTATAAAAGAATTCGTCAAACCTTTTCCAGTTCCTTTCTGTCCCAGGGGTAGGCTGAAACAGAAACGAGAATCGCGCTCAGTTTGTGTGACCGAAAATTATCTCTTAAGGAATTTGTTTTTAGACTCCAACAAGAAAAATTAGATGGAAATAAAGCCCGAAATAACTCATTTCCGAAATACATTTGGCGTCTTTTTCAAATCGAGTCCTGCTGCTCTTCCTTTCACGAGATAATCAGTGTTCCTTTACATGCATAGCAATCTCATTTTCATAACTATGGTTAGCGCAGGCCTCGTTTTGAAAAAGAAGCCCAGGGTAGTTCGGAAAGGGCCTATCAAACAGGTAAGTTTAAGACTGTGTCATTATAACGCAGGAAGTTATTCTGATGTTTTGCTGAGATGAGGTCAAATATTTAACTGTTGAACGTGTTTGGACTAAAACGAGGAAACAAAAAGTGCCAAGCTTATCCGCATTCCTAGTAACGCATTATCGTGACGTGACTTGGCTTACTTTCCTCGAAAGGAAAACTCGCTCATTCACGTTCGAGTTTTGAGCATATTGTGACTTAATGAGCACATTTTACAGGATCTTGGGGATGGGATTTATACTAATGTAGGCAGCTGATTAGTTTAATTGGCCTTGCTTAGAAACAAAAAAAAATAAATACATTTTTCAACTTTCTTGTTGCAGTGCCTCTGGTACATTTTAGGTACAATTTAGCCTGTTAACATTAAGATGAAGAATAAAGGCTCCTTGCTCTTAGGGATTCTATTTTTAGTTGTATTTACCGGATATGCCACAAGTCTAAGGACTGGAGGGTAAGTCTCGATAGATAGATAAATCACGTACGAGTCATAACAAAAATGGACAAAACTGAGGTTGCTCTGAAGCTTCGCGAGTGTCTTCCTGATAAAAAAAAAATCGTACGCGCGCTAAACCTTGGGAAATCTTCCCATTCTATATATCGATAGCAAGGTTTTTAAATGCAAAGTTGGATCAAATTATAAGATATTTTAATTTTTTCTTTCTAAGGTAAAGGAAGCTGATAAACGACGCCATCCTGTCGAATTAATTCTTTACACCCAAACATCAGCATGCATATTCTCCATACTGTTCTTTGTACGCTTTCTAAGGTGCTGACAAGGAGAATTTGTCAAACAATCATTGCTAAAGAGCTTCTTTAGTTAGCAATCATTTCCTTTATTTTTATGACATTAATGTTCGATTCAGTGTGAAACAGTTGGGAGAAATAAGATGCTTAACACACTTAGGGGTTAAAATGTTGATCGTGTTTCATGAGTAATCTCTGATATAATAGTATTGCACAGTATTATTTACAAATCATTAATCCCTCAAAGGTCGAGGACGTTTTGACGTATCCCTTTTCGCTTTCTTTCAGTAGATCTGTAAAATCCAAGGATTAACAAATTTCTAGACGTATTACATACGGAGGGACTTTGTTCTTCAATGTCCAGTTGACTCTAGGGCCAAATTTTACAGGATTCCATTAGTTCTACAACCCGTATTTTCAAATTCATTCGAAAAGGCGGCATCTCTTTGAAATCATATCAAAAGTTTTCGTCCTTGAACTCTAAAAGTTGCGGAGTATGTCACGCCATCTCAACACGGTGGCGCATCCCGGAAAGAGATAGTTTTCCTGTAACGTTTCTAAAGTTATCCTCTACGAGGTTTTCATCAGTAAAGCATGAGTAAAACTAAGAGGTAAAACATCTTCTGCGCCAATCTTCGAAGATGCATGGGGTATACCATGAACTTATGTCACTCTCAACAAGATATTTCCTTGTTTTAGTCCAAAGTTTTGCGCTCTTGTTTTTGCTTTGGTTTTTAAACAAGGCCTTTTTCTCCTTTTGAGTCTTTCAAGATATTTAATTGACTCGTCTACTTTCGAAAACCGCTGCACCAAAACACGAGTGTAAACAAACATGAGTTGAAGTGGGATCTCTTGGATGACGCTGCCTGTTTGTCGAGGAAAGGTCGCGAGGCAGTACATAGCCTAAGGATAACGTTAGCCGACTATAAAAAAATTATTTTTTAAGTGTTTCGCTACTTTCTTTTTTTTTTTTTCTGATGTTTTCATTGTAGCAACTCTGTAAACTCTGTGCTGCAGTTTGTGTCGAACCATAACAAAATGTGCATTTTTCAGAGTAAATAAAGCATCTATCAATCTATTTATTCGTCTTTGATTTGATTTTGTTTTGATTTGTGTTGGTTTTTTTCATTTGATAGTCGCAACGTGCTGACCAGATGGGTAACGACCTATACAACTGAAAGATATTCCACAGCTGTCAGAACAACAAATGGCCAGACATGTACAAGAATCTACACCTGGGGTTGCTGGAACTGCAGGAGGTGTAGGTAAGTTTTGTTTGACTTTTGCCTTATCTAACAAAAGTCTGACATACAACATCTGATTGAGAACAGAATAGAGGACAATTTTTCAGAGGAAATTGCTGATGTCTGTCTACTTTTCAAAGTAGCTGTATTTCTGTCTGTTTTATCTGTTTTTGACACAAACACACACGCGCACTCTCTCTCTCTCTCCCCCTCCCCTCTCTGTCTCTCTCCCCTCTCATCTTCCCCTCTCTCTCTCTCTCCCCTCCCCTCTGTCTCTCTCCCCCTCCCCTCTCTCCTCCTCTCCCCCTCCCGTCTCTGGCTCTCTCCCCCTCTCCTCCTCCCCTCTCTGTCTCTCTCTCTCCCTCAGTCCCCCTCCCCTCTCTGTCTCTCTCCCCCTCTCTCCTTCCCTCTCTGTCTCTCTCCACTCTCTCCCACTCCCCTCTTGTCTTTCTCCCCCTCAGTCCCCCTCCCCTCTCTGTCTCTCTGTCCCCTCTCCCTAATTCTTCCTGCTCAATGTATTTATCTCTCGATGTCTGTTTTTGCTTGCCTACATTTTCGTCCGTTCATCTGTCCTTTAATTTGCTATTCCAGTGTGTTGGTCTTGCTTCCTTTCTGGATGCCATGCCGATTTGTCCATTTTCCTTTCTCTGTTTTATTCTCGCCCCATAATTTTCTCTACCTTGATGTTCGTTCTGTGTCTACAGAACTGTGCCTGTCTACCCATCTGCTGTCTGTATTCTATCCTTTCTCTGAGTCCTCACTCGTGAAATCGAAGCTTCCTGCTGGTTGTACTATATCATAGCGAAGAAGAAACTTTATTCACTTATTTCTCACAGAACGCAATACAAAACGGTCATGCGAAGTTTTACCAGAAGCGTAGCAAAACAGAAAGCAATAAACTACTGTGCTGTAGGATGGAGAGCAAATGGCGACGAATGCACTATACGTATGTTTACTATCATTTGATTAGAAAAAGTAATAAAAACAGGATGCTCACGGGAACTGGAAACCAACCGTGCCTTCGTTAGGTGTATTTAATTGCAACTTTTTAAAATAATAATAATAAAAAAAAACTAAAGGTATACCAGCATATACAGCAGTTCTCAATTAAGAATACCTTTTTTAAATAAGAATACTCGATAAAGCATAAGCTGGCATGCTTTTAATCATTACATTGGCTTTCGTAATATATTTTAGAATAGAAATGTGGTACGTTCTGCGTCTCATTTTTATTTCACACCGCAGAGTACATCCACTCAGTCAAACTAAATTTATTCTTCTTTTTGACGTTTAAGCAATATGCACTGGTGGATGTCAGAACGGGGGAAGATGCATCAGTCCAGAACGATGTCAGTGCACCTCTGGATGGCAAGGGACTAAATGTAGATCCGGTGAGAGATCTGGCTTTTTTTGGTGTTTGATAGTATGTCAGACAGACAAAACCAGGCGCGAGTGATTCGGAGAAGGGTGTGCATGCGCACGGGTGCTTTAATTTTTGCGCTCCTGCATGACCATGCAACTAATCTTTGCTGTTCCAATCTCTACTGTACGTGCTCCAGCAAGTGTCAACCGAAACTTAACGATTCATTCTTTACCATGTGTTTTAATTTGGTATTTGAACACGATTTTGCCTATACGCCTTTTCCTTTCTATCAACAGACGTAAACGAGTGCGCTACAAACAACGGCGGCTGTCAGCATCACTGCAACAATACAGCAGGGACCTATACTTGTTTCTGTGATCCGGGTTACAAAACTTCTGGAAATCAATGTCTAGGTAGGTAATGTCCTTTTTTGGTAGAGCTTAGTCTTAATGTCACTCGGCATATATCTCCTTTCTGTCGGAGTCTTACTTCGATAATACATTTCCGTCTCTTCATCGAAAATTAATATCGATGAAGATTCTTGTTTGCAAACATTGTTCTTCAGTGCAATGATGGTAAAAAGTGTGAAGAAGAACCTCAAAATAACGAACCCTCGATATATAAAAACCTTCGACAAAACATTTCCCGCACATAGTGAGGTCCCCGACACAATTAACGCTCCTTCCAAAAGAACGCAATTAAACCCAAACAGAACGAACCTCTGACACAATAAACCCCTGTTATCACGAGAATATCTATTTTTCAGTTTCACTCATATCTTTGTACATGCGATGATTTATTGCAATCTTCTCCGATTTTCCTTAATATTTAAACTATTGCCGAAGGATGAGATGTTTCGAAATGTTTTAAGTTTACCTGCAACAATAAGCTGTACACCTATGTTATCATATCATCATATTTAAGAACCTCGAAAAAAAAAAAAAAAAAAAAAAAGAAAGAAAACTAATTTTCTCTCGTAGACATTGATGAATGCAGTGGACCGAACAAATGTCAGCAAAAATGTGTCAATAGGCCTGGGAACTACTCGTGTAACTGTCACGTGGGATATCGACTTAACAATGACTCAGTAACTTGCTCAGGTGCGTTGACTGAATCATATCACTCTTGTATCATTGATGCGGTGCATCCAGAAGCGTTTTAGAAACTGAATTGCCTCTAGCTCTATGGGCAGTAATATCATTCATAGTTTTTCTAGTTGCTCTGTTCAATTCTTATCCACCACGCTCCAACCCCCCGCCAAATCCCATAAGTCAATTCAGTAAATCACGTATTCTCTACAAATAACAAGGCGTAATTTTAAATTGAAATATTGTTCCACATCATAGACATAGATGAATGTCCACAGTCTTTATGCCAGTATAAATGCAACAATACTGAAGGGAGTTTCGTATGTACCTGCCCCCGAGGTTATCTGTTGACGACCAATAAAAGAGATTGCGCAGGTAAGATGGCAAATACTGTTTGAAAGTTAAGGCTTCAGTATCATAATCACCTCGCACATCTCCTATATTCTGTACCAGGCTCCCAGTCAGTAAACTGGCCGTGGTTGGACCATAAAGTGAAATAAAGAAGCACACTAGGTCGTTTCAGACCTCCCTCTTTTTTCGCTCCACGCTACCTTCGTGTCTCGTCAAATATGCTAGAACCAAGGTGCTAAAATACTAATTTTTTTTTTCATAGAACTGTAGATAGACGGAATGTACTGCCTATGGCCACTCGCTTTGAAACTAAAAAAGACAACATTTAGATCGAAAGCGAGAAATTACTTATTGTTACTTAATTACCTTTTTGGTGGTCTGTTTTTAAATGGAGTCAAGGACTCCTTTGCAGATCTTCCATATAGCCTGTTATCTTTATCACTTATTTTTATTTTTACTTTTGTACCCAGTAGCCACAAAATCGTAATAGATAAAAATAAGTCAATAAAAGCCTCGAACACGCTTCCTCGCGCAAATCCCTTTGGGCTGTAGCAGAGATAAATTGTAGGGACAACCCGTTGGGGGTTTCATGCGGAATTTTAGCTTGAATATTTTTCTCTCGGATAATTGTAAACTGGTCTGAACTCGTGAGAGGATCGCAGCGATAAAATGTTTGGCAGCGACTTTCGACTTTTTTTCTTTTGTTGATTTGTTTAAGATCATGATGAATGTGTCACGGGACATCACACCTGTCATCAGCGTTGTGTCAATCATCCTGGAGGTTACAGCTGCGCATGCGACATGGGCTTTACTCTCAACAACGATAACCAGTCATGTTCAGGTGAGAAGAAAATATTTTAAAAAATGACGTTGTGGGGAAAGAGTGAGAGAGAAGGTAAAATTTTAGCTCTCGTCGCCTCTCGGATAGGGACGAAAAACCGCAGGCCCCGTCTCCTGCATCTTTTCTGTACTAGTTAGCAGGGGACGTTAAAGAACCCACACACTTGTCGCAAAGAGTAAGGAACGTACCTCCCGGTCTTGTGGTCTAGCCTTGATTCTGGGGGCATCTACAAAACTGAATTTCCTTCAAAAATTGTAAACTGCTCAATGCAGTCTGGCCAAAGTCCCCCGCGAACTGTTGGGAAGCCCCATGAGCTATAGGGTGTGGCGCTATAAAAATCCTCAATTATTATTATTCAAGAAAAACTAATCTATTTTTCAGATATCGACGAATGCAAGTTAAAGTTTGCTGGTTGTGCACACCAATGTAACAATACCATAGGCAGCTTCCAGTGTATGTGTCCAAGCGGATATGTTTTGGATGCTGATAATCGAAGTTGTTCAGGTAGGTTGGGACCTTATGCTTAAACACTCACATTTGATTCAAGATGAGTTTGCTGGATATGTTATATGTACAGTACTATGCAAAAGTAATGCAAACGATAATCGCCGAATATCGCGATATATCGGTGATCTTTGAGCGAACTTTCAGTTGGAACGATATATCGGCGATATGTCACAAGGCCATGGTTTTAACCGCCGCAAGATATCGCCGATATATCGTTGACCTCCTCGCGAATTGTCGAAGTGGGAAATCAGTTTTTTTTTTCTGTATCTCAAGCCCGTGGCAAAACGTTACACGTTACTGAATTTGTCAAGAAGAATTATCACCGATATTTTCTGATCTCAACTAACGTTCCTGTAAGAGTTCTATGTGTTATGTGTTACAATCACTGATCATTCACTTGCAGATCGCAATGAGTGCGATGGTGAGCACAACTGCGGCCAGATTTGTGGGAACACACCAGGAAGCTATTACTGTACCTGCAGGCCAGGGTATTATCTAAGTGATGATTTGAGAACATGCATAGGTAACATGCCATTTGGTATACATGGATATAAGACTCATTTCACTGTCTCGATACTTATAGGTTACCTACTTTTTCTGTCTGGTCAAATGTTTTCTATTTTCCCCAAAAGGTTCCCCGGCCTTGGAGCAATTTTTACGTAGAAGACCATTCTATTTGGGGAAAATACGAAGAATTAAATAATAGCAAAGAGCATAAATTTGTGACTTCATTCTTTCTCTATCCTTAGAAAGAGAATCCGACAAGCTGTGATATTTTTTAATAAGGATAGAACACGTCTTTATAGTCTGTCAACATACTACGATGTCCGAATGCCTGCTGCCAGCCAAACCCTTTCTTAGCCTATATCTAATTTTCTACCGGTCACGCAAATGCAGCCCTATTGCTCCCGTAACAAATAAGCAAGTGTTCTTCAACCAATTTATTAAAACTACTTTGTCACCAGGGTACCCATGTGTATCGATATCAAGGCCAGCCAAAGGGTACATGAATTGCACTGGAAAAACTGTGGATAGCGTTTGTCAGTTTACATGTCAGCCTGGGTACGAATTTATAGGATCGCCAGTGCGCATGTGCTTAACCAATGGCAAATGGAGTGGAAGTCGCGCTGTTTGTAAAGGTAAGCCTGTTGAAGATTGAACTGCAATACAAATGAAAGGAATTCTGTAAAAATTTATTCAAGCGTCTCGGTAACTTGATGAAAAACAAGAATGGCACTAACAGCAACTCCAACAGCAAACCGATGATGGAAACATCTGGAAATTCCAAATTTTCCGGATTTCAAGCACAAGTTCGCATATTTTAGAATTATGGACAATGAAACAATGACATTTGATAGCACAGAAGTAGGTAAGGACATGGGTAACGGTAAACGAAATGCATCGCAGCCAGAAAAAGGTCTAAAGGAACAAGTATAAGAGAGGAGGGCGTAATTGTAATCATGATAGTAACAAGAGATTTCATGAACATGGAAAGAAGTGTTTTGTTTTGATAACTGCGTCAGCTGCACCCGTCTATGGTGATTTCCATTTTTCTGACTGATTCTAAGAGAAGTTATGGGGAACGGAGAAAGCCTGACAGTGCAAATCGCCTCAGAACGTAGTTTGAAGGAGAACAAAGTCAGTTTGTGGATGCTTCTCCCATTTTCATAGATTGAACTTTCTTTTTCTTTTGGTAGTTAGAACGTGCCATAAACCAGCTCCACCAGCAAATGGCTTTGTGAAAATTCCTTGTTCAACCACTTACAAGGGAAAATGCTCTTTTGGGTGCCACTCCGGATTTTTCCTCAATGGAAGCAAAACAGTTTCTTGCACCGAGAATTCCACATGGTTGCCGATCCCTGGAAAATGCCACGGTAAGGAGAGAAATAGGAATAACAAAAAATGATTGTCACGAAATCAAACTAAGGTTATATTGAACTTTTTCTATTGGAGGAGTTAAAGCGCTTAGAATAACCTTTGATATGGAACGGTTGAAATTTGCAAACGATTGATTTTAGAAATACATCCTTTTCTTTTTTCATCTCAAAATATTTCTGTCTTTTCATCATCATCATTATCATTGTTTTATCTTCTTGTATAAGTTAAAGTAATGGTCTTTTCTTGGTTTGCAGCAATAACCGTCTGTCACCCTAATCCTTGCTTTCATGGAGGGAAATGCAATCCCATTAACAGTACACATTTTTGGTGTAACTGCACGAACACAGCATACACAGGTAACAGGTGCCATGCAGGTATTTTCCGCAAACCGATATATCCCCGGCTTCAACGAGGAAGCAGTGTAAACATCACTTTTAAACTCTCCCCGCCGGATAAACAACTTACTGTTACACCGAGTGCATCGGGTTTAGAATTTGTACCTGGTAGTTTGGTGATCCACTCAGAGCAGTTGACGGATGGAAAATTGCACCTTGCAAACATGACAATAAAAGCTCTACTGCCAGGCATGCATCTTACTACTTACACCTTGTCTGGTGTTGGAGCCCTTTCATACCAGAAGCTGCTTCCTGATATTGTAGTTGTTGTTGAGAACGAAACATGTTGTAATGATGGTTTACTGAGCACTCTTCCTCTAGGATGTCATGAGGCCAGACTTCTCCAATGTCCAGACAGTGACAATTTTCTGTACGCTAGATCAACTGATCCATGGAAACAAGCCCAAGGGACAGTTAGTACTGAAGGAGTTGCTACTCTCATCTCTGCCAATAATCTCACTTTACCTTTGGGGATTAGAGGAACAGCACTTGAGAAATTGAATCTCTCAAATTACTCCGTTTTAGCAGACAACATGTCATGCAAAGCTCAACCACCAATGGATGTGCAGTGTCTTCCTTCCGAAATCATAGCATCTGTATTCTTGCAGTCCTTAATAGCCAGCTTTCCTCGCTGGTTACGCTTGACTCCATCAAAAACGCTGTCGAGCCTTGAGCCAAACGAAGCAATCACTTACTTATGGAGCGGACTTCAACTTAAGGGGGTTTTGAAAGGATTAGGACTTTTCGTGAATGATCGATCTTTGTATTCAGCGCTTCTGTTCTCAGGATCCTTAAAAGTCGAGGTAAACAAAGTTAGTGTGGTTCTTCCGAAATACGATGGTAAAAACAAGCACATTGTTGTTACAGATATTTGTTCAAATTCATGGCCTGCTGTTGTACTCGTTATCTTCAACCCATTATCCTATAACGCTTTACAAGCCATGCCAGTTTATAAGCAACTTGCATCACGAGGTTGGCAAGTAACTGTGATGGCTCTACAGTTTTCAAAAGTTGGTGCACTCAATTATTCTGTATTTACGGGAAAACGAGGAAACAAGCTTATATCAGGAAGTCTGGGATTCTATGGGAGAGTAGGAAAGACCATAATTGGTTCTCATCCGGTCAGTTCCTTGGGTGTGCGTTTGGTGGGAAATGCACTCTTTGGAGTATCAAATATCGATAAGGTAAGTGAAATACCTGTTTTCAAATACACCTGCAATCAGGCCACAGTAGTACATTCAAATTACGCACTCGAAGTAACAAATTGTCTCTCTTAGGTATGGGAAGACAATCGATTCGCGTGGAGGGCCGGGATAAACGGAGAAGTAACGGCAGAAATTATTATTTTCTTGTTGGAGCAAAAGGTGTTACTGGATCTACAGCTACATCGAAGTTCTGGACTCGTGAAGTTTGAAGGTTAGATTGCATTGCCTGTGGCCTTAAGTTTCAACCTCAAAAACGTTTCAACGTAAGGATTATTGAGATCTCTATAGTGCAGCGTCTTCTTAAGGCCAAAATATAAAGGGGGTTAAAGATCAATTCATAATCTTGCGCTCGTTAGATGAATTTGATTGCGTTAAGTTTCAATTTTTTGTCTTTTGTCAACCGCTTGCCATGTCTATCAGTTTATCGCAACATAGCTCCTGTTGAGGCCTATGGACGCCGTTCGAAGCGTTCAGCTCCGACCTAGACTAATTTTATAAAGCCAACGAATGTTATCCACCATATTCCCACAATGTAAGCCACACCTAATCGCAATGGGAAGACCTTTCGATTTTTTGAGCTATGCGTAATCTACCAAAATTGCACATTAGCCACGTTTTGATCATCCGCAAAAACTTCAGTTTGAAATTATAAGATAACCAAAGTAAAGCGCGCGCTCTGATTGGTCAATTTAGCGTCCCCCATTTGCCCATGGGTGTACGCTGCTGACGTGAGCAAATGCAAAGACTATTTTTTGAGCGCGCGCTCGTTTTTTCTGGCCACGTAAGATTTGTTAAATAAAAGGGAACTCTTTAGCTACAATGTATCAATGTTATGTTATAAAAAAAATGGTAAACACCACAGCGTACACTATTGAGTTATGGATGCACTTGGGAGGTTTGCTAGGCACTCAAGAAGCTAGAGTCGCTCTCGGCTATCGCCTCGAGCGACTCTTACGCTTCTTTCGTGCTTAGCAACCTCCCGTGTGCATCCATAACTCAATGGTGTGCGCTGTGGTGTTTACCATTTGTTAAATAGAGATAATCTCGTTTCTTTTTTACTACCAGAATCTCCAAGCAACAAATCTTGTAAGGTTGTAGACACATATGAATTGTCACTTAATGGCTACTTGGCAGCAGATCCTTTCAAGCCTTCTCTTCTGGGCTCCTTCATTGATAGCAAAAACAGCAAAGTGTCATTGTACGCGACTTCTCAGCGTCTTATCAACTCCTCTGCAAAAGAGTCAAGCGAATCTTCTGCCATCCAGTTGGAATTTTCATTAACTGGCATGGTAAAATTTGGACCTTTGAGATTTCCTAACATGTCTTTGAGTATTGAGACTTCCTCAGAAGAATTGAAAAACTGTCATGGTCAAGGTAGTTGGACGGATTCTCCTGGATTAACAATTTCCGCCTCTTTTAACCAAGTAGAGGTCTTGGGGAGGTTCTTTACTTGTCTTGAGTCGGATTTTCTGCAAATTTTTCTACCCTCTACCAGCCAGAACAGTTCTGAAGGCGTCCTTGAAACCAGCGTGGCTTTGCTGGGAGATTCGTTTAAAACACGGGTAAAAATATCAAACCAATCTTTAAATTTCGAGAAGGAGATCAGTTTATTCGATAATTATCGACTTTCTATTAATGGCTCGAGTCATTTGCAGTCATGGGATTTTCTGAGTTTGAGGCTCATGGGAACTTTCGGTAAATCTGACGATGGCAGTCATCAAAAGGCACTCGAAGATACTGTTAAAGAAATGATAAATGATTACATCAAAGTTATTGCTGAAACTACTCTCAAACGGCTCAAAATTTTAAAAAGTATGAGGAAAAAAACTAATGAAAGGATCAGCGGAAGCTCATTAAGACTCGCCCAAGCTGAGAATAATACTTACTCAGCCGTCGAGCAATACCTCAGGGCCTTGAAAGCCGAACATGCCGCCATTAAGGAATTACAAACGGCAGAGAAGGTTTTGACCAATAGCACTGAAGAACTTAACGAACTCAAAGAATCTCTTGAGCGTTTGTGTACAATTGAAGAATGTCCGTACAGTTGTGTTAGCGGAACAGCGTGTAGTACCTGTTATGAAGATCTTATCAGCAGGGAGCAAGGGGTCTGTCCCGCAACTTGCCACAATCTCCGGCAGGAAAGATTTCCTCCATTTTGGAAGACATCAACCTGTGAGGAAGAAGACTGCGACCATTCTGGAGGTAAACTTTGGGAGGGGTCTACTCTATCTTGTAGCCTTGAAAAAATTGGAAGAGGAGTCCTTAAACCAGCGATAGCGGTGGGTGGAACAGCACTTTTAACATCCGCAGGCGTTCCGCCAGTAGCTGCCTACGCTATTTCAAGTGGCGTTGTAGCTGCTGCATTTAAATACGATGAAAACAAAAATCCGGAGGAAGCTGTGATAACTGGTGGCGCGACAGGAGCAGGAAAAGCCATATTCCCAGATGCAAGTAATGACTTGTGGAATGGTTTAGCAACCGGGGCATATGAAGCTTCGCAACAATGCAATAGTGAGGGTTCGTGGGATTGCGAAATGGAACCTTATCCTTGTCCTGAGGAAGTCTTCAATTATAAGTACACCAAGATACCTTACCAATGCGAGACTTCGTGTGAGGTAAACGTCGTTAGAGAAACGATCGCCACTCCGTGCTGCCAGGAAGTGAACTGTGCATCACGAATAAAAGAATTAGAATGCCAGAAAACAAATGCGTTTTGTCGTATTACAAGGCAAAAGGCCATGTCGAAGTTGAATTCAGCAAAAAAGAATATTTTAAAGCCTCTTATGGAGTTACAACGAGCAAAGGAAGTATTCAACATAGTTCATATTGAGCTTGTTAAACGTAAAATTGAGTTGGAAGCTGCATCTGGTGAGCGTGACACTCTTCGAAGAGCGCACAATTCTGTTTTAAAAGCGGCTGACATTTCGTTGGAATCGAATGAAAAGAGTCGTGCTTTCATTCACGACGCAGTTGCTCTCACTCAGCTATGGAATACCACCAACCAAACCTGCCCTTTAGACATAAGCGAAATTTCGTTCGATGTTACCTTGTCGTCACCCTCTGAAACTCAAATACCAGTATTGTTCAAAGTAGCCTCCGGAAGTAAAGAGAAAACCGTCTATTCCATAATTGACTTCGTAGCCCTAAATGATTCTCTCCAACGAACGGCTAAGCAAATCGTCAAGGAACTTTTTGGTGAGGTGAATGTTATCCTGCGGTCTGGACATCCATTAAATCAGCTGCAAACTCCACAAGGCAATGGAAGAAAAAAGCGCACCATTGATGAACGGGCCTCTGACGTACCAAAACTGGTGGAATTCAAGAAAAAATGCGCTCTGGTGACAAACTACAACCGTGCCCTGAGTGATATCATAGGCAATCTTTATAATATTTCCAGAAAATCTTTACAGCTCCTTGATAATGTAACAAATCCCAATTCTAAGCAAAAACACGCAGAATCCCGAAAGTACTCCCTGAATATGACCCAAGCTGCTGAGTTCGGCCTAACAGAAAAGGAAATCAATGATTCCATTAATGCGGCAACTTCCGACAAAGAGGTAATGAACGCAGCAAGTTTAATTGAGCTTAGAAATTCGACAAACCACAAAAAAGTGCAAACAGCAATAGATATGGTGTTGAGAGACTGGGAAGCAAGTATGGAGACTGTCTTCAACAGAACATTACTGGAATGCAGCGGTTTCATTGACTGTATGGAGGACTTTGTTGAAAACTTTCTCTTCCTTTACCAAGGGATCGATCTCCCTGAAGCAATTCGTTTGCGGCGACAAATTGCAATAATTGGCCAGGAAGTTAAAGATCTTCTTTCCTACGAAGATCTGTCAGTGTCTGAAGCGGCGAATAAAGCCTCGAAAATTCTGAAAAGGCTGAAAGACACTAGAGATACAAATGTCTTCTGTGCAGTCGCCCCTAACATAACTCACCATCCAGTGCCGATAAAGAATTTAAGAACAGGACAAACGCTGGTGCTGTCTTGCAAAGCGACTGGAGACCCTGCACCATTTTATCGCTGGAAAAAAAATGGCGAGATTATTTCAGGAAGGAAAACAGAGACGTTACGCATCGAGAAAGTAGCAAAAGCCGACAGTGGTAACTACACTTGTGAGGCTTATAACCACTTAACAGTGGAACCATCAACGCCTTCTTACATAGTTGTGCACCCACCTCCTGTTCTGGTGTACCAGCCTCCTTGGAACATGAACGTACCAGTGAACACTGGTTTTTTTATGAAGTGTACGGCGACTAGCTTGTCAAAGCCACTTCGTTATCAATGGATTCACAAGCCTTTTGGTGGAGATAGTTATACTTTGGTCCCTAATGCTACTTTCTCTGTGTTGAATTCTCACTCCGTGAAGAAAAACATGGAAGGCTTTTACAACTGTAACGTTTCCAATCCATTTGATTACACGCTATCTCACAGCATCCGACTTCGAATTCTCGGCTTTTCTTTGGTTGTGCCTTCTCTTTGATCATCTTTCCAGATTGTCGGCGAAAAAGGACGCGTTGAAAAAACCTACAGGGAAAGCAACCGCGCAATCGCTGGTAAGACATCGCTACATGTTAACAACAAATTTCGGGCGGATGTGGAATCGGGCTTCCAAAAAATCGTAAGCAACTTGGTTGACCTTCCTTCTGATGCAGTGCAGGATCTTTCAGTAGGAGACTGCCAAATGATCGTGGAAACAAGCAGCAATATCTCCTGTGAGATTTCCTTCAGATTGCGCAGCCTCAACATGACTGGACCCGAAACCATTAACAAAAGTGCGTCAGAAAACGCCGTTAGTGTCATGGATTCCGCGCAACAGCTAGAAAAAGCTTTGGCCAAGCTGATAAACGAATCCGTTACAAGAGGAATTACTTTAAATGAAAGCAGCGTTCTCTTAAAGTTAGACCCAGCTTCATGGAGTGTTGGAAAATACATCTCTCTTTGCCCTATTGGTACAGTACTCTATGGAAACAATTTCGTTTGCGGTGAGTGCCCTTTTGTTTTCTAGTTGTCTAAGATTATATCAGAGAACGCCAAAGCTTTAAGCAGTAACCGTCTGGCATGAATACACCTTAACAGTTCTAATGCATCAACGTAATCTGGAGACTTTCGTCACAAGTTGAGATCTGTATCAGAAACTCAAGTTAGGGCTTAGGCTCGAGTTATCATATTATGTTTGGCAAGCCACTTTGGTTTCATAGTCCCTCCGTTCACCCAAGAGTACAATTAAGTACCCAAAGACTGTTACGTAGATCTGACGAAATGTGAAAGGAGGGGTTAACCCATGATGGACTGGCACCCCATATAGGAAGAATAGCAATATTAGCTCCATGCCACAGAAACAGGGGCAAGCCTAAAGGCGTAGGTCGGTAGGCTCTTCTGCAGACTTAACCTTATCAAATGCGTGAAGATTGTGTGCAAAAACGATCTTCTTAAGTTTTAACATTACAGATTCCTTTTAAATGATTTCTTACTATTCTCATTTGTATTCCATTTAGTCAATTGCCCACCAGGAACCTATGGGGGCATAAATGGGACGTTACCCGCTTGTTTCCCTTGTCCCGTGGGAACGTTTCAGCCTGATGAAGGACGAATGTCATGCGTTCCCTGTCCTGCTGGTTTTACTTCCAGTAGAATGGGATTGGAGGATTTTTCTTTCTGCCAAGGTGAGAGGCTGGACTCTTAGATAAGTGATCCATCTGGCATTGACTTGGGATAAGGACGTCTAGACTTACTTCCTGAGGAGGGGAGGGGGGAGGGGGAGAATACACAAGTAACCTCTTGTTCAGATCCTGGAACAGGCTTAGGAAAAAAAAGTCATAACTTCGCGTCCGTGGGAGCCTTTTTGTATCGCTGGGTGAAGTTTTCTTGAGTTTGTTTGTTGGTCAAGAACTTACGTTTTCCTTGTTAAAAAGATCTGGCACAAGACACGACCACGCCAAGAGCTAGGACAACCCAGTGGTCAGATGTCCCCACAACTTTATCAAGACCATTTCCCACTGCCTCTTTGACTACCTATGAAGAAACTTTATCAAGACCATCTGCTACTGCCTCTTTGACCACCTATGAAGATGATGTTAGGACTGTGCAGCCTAAAGGTCTGAATTTTCAGAGTTACCACGATGTTTCTTCCAAATGGAAAATAGCCTTTGGAGTTTCCTTGGTTATAATCATCATATTACTGGCAGGTATGCTGGGTAACTTTTACTTGAGGCAAGGGAATGGTAGAATGATATTCTTAAAGGATGCTATAATCCCGGTTCGCTCGCCATTTTGTACATAAATGTGTAACTGAGTAGGCATTTCTACCAATCTACTTTCATATGATGAAGTAGTTTTTTAAAAATTGAGCAATAAAGAACAAAAACAGTTTCATACATGAAATAAATGAATCAATTTAATGCGATAGGAGTGGGGCCTCTTAAGTGAGCCATTTCCGAGTTCTTAAAACCTTCGCTTAAAGCTAAGTGCTATACTTGTCTTAAGAAACAAGTCTTACTTTCATAGCAAAAAAGAAAAAGAACTTTTCTACGTTTTTAAGCAAAGGCTTTGGGTATTTCGGAAACGGCCTTTTATAATTGAAGCGAAGTGGTGAATGAAAATTTAATAACTTAAGCTGAAAGAAGTAAAGTTTTAAAATCTTTCCTTGTTTGTTTTGATTCAAGGAATTCTGGTTTACGGCATGAACTACCGCGTCAAAAAAATCAGACGATTCGGATTATCAAAAGATGATTCCAACACGAGTTCAAAGAGTAGACAAACATTCCAGAATCCTATTTACGACGATAGTGAAGTTCATGGACAAGTATACACCCAGAGAAATCTCACTTACGAGCTGACAGAGAATTCGGGTAACAAGAAAATGGTTGCAGTGGCTGAAAATGACAAGGTCCCATCCCAGAATTCCATGTGCAGTGCATCAAAAGTTGATTAGCAAGATCCATTGGAATGTGGCCTTGTCAACGCAGCCTACCAGATGACCGGCGATACCGACAGGGAGATGTAACGCTCCCTTGAAAGATTACAACGTCTGCTGCCGCTAAATATCAAGATAGACTTTGATACTTTTATCCCAGTTGATTTTTTGAAAGGCCTATTAAGTTTTTATGTATCAACAGTCTCTAATGAGACAGGCTGAATACTTTCGGTTGCTGAGAACATTTTTTAAAATATATATGCTTTTAAATGCAATAATAAGGAACAAATCTAGAAAATATACTGACTTTCAATTCAAAGAAGTCAATTTAAGCAAAGTTAGGCTGTTAATGAGGTCTTCGAAGAAACGTTATATCTAGAGAGAGTGTGATTTGCACGAACTTCGCATCGGAACTTTGTCTGCAAAGATAAAAATCTTTCCATGTATTTCTGGCAGACGAAATTTAAGATAATTTTTCCGCATACTGTCTCGTCGTATAGTGAGGATTCATGCACTGCTAAAGAGGCAGAGAAACTATCTGCCCAAATGTTCATTAGGGCTAACACTCTTTACAATGGAAAGCTTACAGCCACAAACCAAGAATTATGGCGTATCAATGCAATTCCATTTAATTTTTTCTTATAGCATCGCCATTCGTCCTCATCTCGCAAATTGTCGAGACCTGCACATTGTGATCACACAAACTGCCCTGGGACAACGGACTGACGTTACTAGTAGGTTGTTATACTTGAATCAATCTATAACACCTGTCGTGATCCATAAGTAACAACCCCCAATTAAAAAAATCTTGAATTTCCCCCCTCCAGAAAAAAACGGCACACTAGTTGTTGACATTGAATATCAATGAAATTTTATTCCATTTGCTAAACTGACAACGTAAGTGGTAAGTGTTAACTAAAACAGGACACCTTTGATACAGGAAAATCCAATCAACTACTGGTAATTTCGGTCCGAATCAATTGATCTTGAATTAAGACACCTTAGCCTTATGTATACAAGTAGGCAACGCTCTGCCTGGTCTGCAATGTTGCACTACACAAAGCTTTGTGTAACGCAACAATTCCTACAAAGAACGCCTCAGTGACTGTACACTTGCAATTTCAATAAGGAAGGTTTAATCCTGTATATATAGAGTGCCATCATGTCTACTGCGTATTATGTGGTTCATCTACAAGGTTTTA